GGTTTTGTTTGGCTTTTTTTCTAAACAAATAAACATGTTACAAATCTAGGAAAATGATGGTTCTTTCTGTGGATTTCTTGACCCAACACTGAATCTTCTCTGTCGTGAAACTCTTAAGAATGCCACTAAGTCACTGTGCCCACAATTTTTCAGTGCTCAGAAGTCAAAAAATGACAACTTCAAAATTACATACAACCTTAATTGCCACTACTCATACTCTAGAGTAAAATAAACATTTTCTAAATACCTGATCATGCTGCTTCCAATACTTCTGCATACAGAAGTCCTGTTCCTTGTTATACAACAGAGGTCTGAAAGGTCCCAAATGAGCTCATAAAGTACATCAATTACTAAACCATGAAGCAACAAAATGCATGTATTTATAGTCCATGTAAGACATTGATTTCAGCTACCTCATTACAGCAATGTGCTCAGCAAAACTCAAGCTGGAAAAGGTGTTTATAGTGTATCGGGAGCTATTTCAAAACAGGAATTGTACAGACTCCCAAGCTTGCACTACACAGCACTGGGACATGGCAACTACCAAGCATAAGCTCATACACTGCAGTTATAGCTACCTAATGGAGACTCAGGACTGACTGAAGGTAGTGCTTCCTTACAGTACAGGAAGTGCTAACTCAGCAGTACTCTACAGTAAAGTTCAAAAGGTGCCTCTGTTCAGCACAGATTTAGAGAATTGATGGTGTTTCTTACATGTATTTGGTCCCAATTTCCTACTGTTACCGCTCCACCCTGCTGTGATTCTTATTTTGGCCAGGTGGTACTACTACCAAATTATTGCCAAGCACAAATGAAATAACACTCTATACTGCAACAATCACTTCTGGCACCATTTGTGCAGAGTATTTGATGCATTGTGTAGATGCCTTGAAAGCATAAATCCAGTAAAGAAGCTTTAGCAGTACCACCAACAGCCAGGCCACTTAATGCTTTGCTGGAAGGACACTGGAAACAAGCCAGCTGCTTTTGGAGGAACTGTACTTCATCACCTCTCTTCAATGTAACACAACTAGTGAATCCATAAAAGCAGTGAACACACATAAAAAGATCAGACTAAGCATCAAATAATGGTGGTCAAAGGCAGGGGTTGGGGAAGGGAAGAAAACACAGGGGAAGGAGTTGGGGGAGAGATCTTATTCAAATAACACTGTTTTCTTTTTTCTAAACAGTTAAGAATGAAAGCTGCTGTATGTTTGTGCTTTGTCTTTTAATAAAGTTTACAGGAAAGACCGAAGATATAAAGGAGCAATCACTTAGTGCCATTCTAGTTATTAACCAGAATCACAGCAGACTTGAGTTTTAAAAATCTATTTCCAGAAACAGCCTTACACACAGTGGGGACATATGTCCCATAAAAGCCAAAACAAGTTCCGTGAAAGTGGTTAAAGGAAAAACTTTATGTCCAAAGCATCACTTATCAAGTAGTGACAGAAGATAATGCATTGTGTTGCTGTTTTTCCTTGCTCAGGCATAAAATTCACTAAAAATGAACTCTAATGTGAAGACTACACAAAGGCCATATATTTCTGAAGCAAGATACTCTTACAAACAAATACACCACTTTTTTTTAAACTGAATTTTTAATGTGTGTCACACATGCTTAAAAATTTAGAATCAAAAGAAATATTCCATAAGCTTCTGTAAATAAACAGCTTTTATGGATCTGTTCTAAGTCAAGGTAAAGTTAGTTGAGAAAACAGGCTGTGTTAGGCTAATGATTTTTTTCCCTATTTGGGTCCAAAATACAGAACAGGTTAATAAGGGCTTACCAGTGTTTAGTATTCAACAGTATACAGTCACACTGGTTGTTCAAGATAAAGCTACTTATGGACTTACTCCACTTCAGACTTGATTTGAGTGTAGTTTTCATTTAGTAGTTATTAATATGGCCCACAAATCACTTGCACCTGACACTCCCTACACAAGAGATAGCACAGGACTAACCACCACTCTGAACCTCCCTCCACTGTATAGTCAACAGAATATTTTGCAGAGGATTCTGTATTATTACAGACAAAAACAATATACTCAACCATTTTTCCACTATATTTCACTAGAAGACTCAGACAATGATATGTACTGACAACCAGAAAAATAATCTAAAAACACACCTAAGGCTATTCCTCTACCTTGAGCTTGTCTCTGCACAATGTTGTAACATTGCTTCTAGCATGAGACAGGGCACTAGGACACATTGCATCCTGAGATGTGTCCTGAGACAGAAGCATCCTATGGCTAGTAACAGGCACAGAGAGAAAGACAGCCCTGCGATATGGCCATCGTAAGAATAATACATACCTGACAACCAGGGAGGGTCCATAAAGATATATGCAGGAACTACAGAGGAAGGGCCAGTTAAGTCTTGATCTCCATGTATTATAAGTACCTAATCTTACCAAAATTATCAGGGACTTCAGTTCCTATGGCAAGGTACAGATCTCCTGGTATTATGATTTAAATCTACCACCAATGACGACAAGGCTATAAATCACTTCAGCTCAAGTTCTATCACAGTTGCCACAATGCCATTTTACCATGGATAGGTGTGGATAACATTCACTGTAAAACTGACTACTGATGCCAGCTTTTGCAAACTCAACACCTAAAAAGACACAATGTCACCACTGCCTCACAAGTCTGAACAGAGGTGCTCTTCTGCACAGCAGTGAAAAGCATTTACGAGTATTTGGCTAAAACATATGTAAAGGCATCCACCTATGGATATTCATCCATCTTGAGAGATCTTGTCCTAAAATTATTTCCACAAGACATTTCTGTGGCATACTTAAATGCTACCTGAACTCTCAAACTGCAAAGCAAACTCTGGAAGGACAACTCTTCACTACACTAGAAGACAAGCCTGAAAGAAGATAGGTTCACAAGACTGAGTCTGACACAAACTATACTGAGACCACACAAAGAGAAGGTGCCTTGTCTGGAAGATAAAGTGGAAACGAAAGTAAGGAAACAATCATAATCATTTATTCTACTACTGGTATTAGGTACCATGACACTCTAGGTGAATGCAGACCAACAGGCACTGCCAGCTGAAAAATTCCAACTCTCATCCTCAGAGAAATTAAATAAAAAGATAGGTGGACATTAATAGTTAAACAGAAGACTGCTTCCAGAGGTACCCACTTCTCTGAGCTTAGTGTAAGCCACATAGGTCAGGAAGAAGAAACTAATCAATATGCAACTTCCAGGACAGGAAAGGTGACGTATGTTGTTACCAGAACTGCACAAACTGCAAAGCTGAAGATTTAGCACACTGTCAGAACAGAAAGAGGTATAAAGTGAATCAATACAAAAAATTGTGAAAAAGTCTCAGTTTCTATTTCTAAGCAAAAAAAATTCTGACCTTTTTCATCAGGAAAGAGAATGCCTTCTTAAACCTACAGACAAGATGATCTACTGCTGCCATAGCTTTTCACACACAGTAACAGCTTGAAGTTTCTACATCTGTGGCTAGTTTCACTTAACAGTACACCGAGTTCTGGCAACGCTGCACTGACACAAACAACTTTTTGTCAGCTGAAGTAGGATTAAAGCTGTTCCTTTCAATGTTAGTTGTTAGATGATGTTACAGGGCTCTGAAAGCATTTGCTAGGTGTGAGAGGTTTCCCAGTTGTAACAAAGTGAAAAATTTCTACTCTACAGGCAGCAAAACGAAATGACAAAATCACATCAATTTCATCTGCAACTTCCTCAACAGATAAAGCAGTTAATAAAGGAAAAGGTTCACCCAAAGGAAGGACCAGAACAGTGACAGGCAGAGGATTCTCCAGTGAGAGCCAGAAGCCTCAAAGAAATTTAGATACAGAAAAGGCAAAACCAGTAAACACTGACAGACTGTTCTAGAAGACTGAGGGGAGGGAGGAGTACAGAAGGAGAAATGCTTGCCTCTAGCTGACTAGATCACATAGAAGGAAGAGGTGTAACGATTAAGGTACTAAACCCTTGCTCACAAGAGATAAGACCATGTTACACCACAGACCAGCCTCACACTGTAGGAAACAGACAGGCATTTCAACTGCAAAACACTGACAATGGAAAACAAAACAAGTCTAAAAAAAATCTTCCCTGTTCACTCAAGTATTTCAAATCAAAACCTAACATTAAAAAAAAAAAAAAAAAGACCACCCATGTATGAGCTTTGCTGTTCTACACTTTACATGGATTAAACTCAGCTGAAAGTATAAAGACACGTGAAGTGATTTCTGCATAGAAAATTTGGTGATCATGTCACCAAAGCAGCTGTTAAAAGTGCCACACATGGCATTACTCTGCTGGAGCTACATATTGAACAGACATAGCTGCTGTATCCAGCCTTGTCTTGCTCTCTTCTCCTAAGCTTCTCTCCCATTCTCTTAGTTCCTACTAAAACTAGAAGCTGACCTCTGAACTGAAACTTGAAGGAATAAAGGCAGAACAGATCTGCACTCTTTCTTCATATTTAAATCAAGGGTTTCATCTCTATTGTTAAAAAAAAAAAATCGTATCAACTATTACTTTTGCATTAAATGAGAAGTTAATTATTTCATCAGATAGTTCTTCTTAAACATGCCTTTCGACTAAATGCTGCACTAAAAAGCACTTTAATTGGGTTTATTTCCCAAAAAGGAAGTATGATGCAAGCATAAATAAGCTATAACTGCACTTCATATTGGGTTTTTGGCCTACTACTATAAGAAAACAAAGCCATTTATACGCAGCAGTATTCTGCCATTCTGCACAGCATATCCTGTGCTCTCTGAAATACCTTTATCTTGTAGGGTTAAACATTCTTCATTAGAACACTAACACAACATACAGCTTTGACATTTGTCTCACACACAGACAACCAAGGGAAACTGAGGAAGCAAAGAACGGCTTTGTTTAACCATGCGTTGCAGTCAGTATCAGTCAGTTAAGGCCCCAAAGCAAGGCTTAGCGAAAAGCAAAGCAATAACATAAAGTCAGCATTTCCCTAAACCTACCTGTTGATGACACAGCAGAGGCCCACCCTCGAGTTCCCACCCTTCCCCGTCCTCAGCAACGTTCCCACAGAGCAGAGTAAGCCCCGCACTCCCTCTTCTGCTGCTTGTCCCGGTCCCGAGGAGGCCGCAGCGCAGCCCCCAGCCCGTCCCGCACGCGGCGCGCCCTCCGCACCGCCCCTTACC